GCCGGGTGGGGGGGTGGTTGGGTGGGGGGGGGGGGGGGGGCCTCATGACTCCTGTAAGGTTCAGGAACTTCCTGAGACTTGCATGGTGTGTTTTTTTTGTTTGTTTGTTTGTTTTTAGATTTATTTATCTTATTTTTATGTGTGTGAGGGTTCTGCCTGTGTGCCTGGTGCCCACAGAGATCAGAAGAGGGTGTCTGATCCCCTGTAACTAGAGTTACAGAGAGTTGTGAGCTACCTCGTAGGTATGGGGAATCGGACCCAGGTCCTCTGCAAGAGCAGCCAGAGCCATCTTTCTAGATCCACCGTCCCTCCTAGTGCCTCCTTTCTTCCTTTAGTGGGGGAATGTTTCAACTCAAAGGCAATAGCTATACATCATAGGCTATTCAAATGAAGGAACCGGCTTCCCTTTTGGCAGCCATAATGGTCGAACATGTGCTTCTATGACCTTGACCTAGACACTAGAAAGTCAGATGCCTGTCTCGTGACAGGGAGCCAATCAGAAGTTACCTGGTGGCACTATGCTTTACGACCCTGGGTGTGCTTTACGGACAAGCGCACGACAATGACGTAGAGAGCATAGCAACCACCCTGGGAGGGCCTATGAGCCATAACAACCAGTTGACCAATCAACACAGGGCAAGCCCTCCAAGCCTGGAAGCACACCAATCGTGAGCCTGTGCGTACCCCTAGACACTCCCCTTACGCTGCCCTATAAGATCTTTTGGGAGACCCAAGGAGCCGTCTTTGCTAGCCGTCCGCCATGGTGGGTGGGTGAAAGACCCGAGCTAACATGGGGTTAGCTCGTTAAATTACAATAAAGCCTCGTGCAGTTTGCAGCAAGCTCTCGAATCCGCCTGGTGATTTGGGTGACCTCGAACCTGGCCTGAGACCCCGGATACTTGAAGTTTTCGGGGGTCTAACACAAATAACCGGATAATATCAGTAAATTCTATTATGGTCCATGTCTTAGGAACAGATGAGAGGAGCTCACTGATAGCAGATTATCCTCATCTGAACCCCGCAAGTGGGATTGGATGCAAAACTACAGCAATGATGCATTTCCCAGGGACACATTCCACGCATGCTGTGCTTTGGAGACTCTAGAGAAGGTACTGTCTAAGCACCAGAAGGGGAGGGTGCTCACTGAGACTTTCCATACAATAGCGAAACAGATGACCTGGGCAGGCTTGGGTAGCCCAGTTTCTCCCTGTAGTTACTTTGTATTGAAAGCCAAATTATAAGCCAAATAACCAAAGTTTATTTACAACATCAAAGATAATTGTTACGAAGGCAAGAATACATAGCATCGTATTCTCTTTGTAGAATTTCCCTGCAGAGACACTGACAACGGAAGCAGACTGTCTATAAACATGGAATGCAAGCAAGAAGAGCTACATTAGTTGAGTGCCTAACACCCTGAGGCTACACCGTTAGGGAAGGTCCTGTCTATGGGATCTGAACTCCTGGAGTGTCCCATGACCTCCTCCAAGGTCTGCTCACACACTGGGAATGGCTGTGTGGGAGAGAGTCAAGATAAAAAAGTACTTGGCTAACAATTCTGCTTGGTGGGTACTGCCTAAGTTTTCCCTCTGTGCTTGCTCTAAACAGCCAACCCTGCGGGAGTCAGCCTCCTTCACTTTTGAATATTCATGCTTTAACCTATTGTGCTCGATTTTACAGTCCAGTCCCTGGAAGAGCATCTCCCCAGTGTTCCGGAGGCCGCTCAGTAGTCTGCAGATACAGACCCAAAAATGCCTCCCAGCTCCTTTATCCTGGATGCCACCCCGAGAAGCTTCGAGGCGCAAATCAACACAGATTTCTGTTTTGTTGACTCGGGTGGGTACTCACTGGCACAACCGCTCTAAATCCTTCGAGTCAAAGTGATCCCTGATTGTACAGTTGAAGACTTGGAGCCTTCCCTGCATGGTGAGTGGCTGACCAGGTTCCCACCATTTTGGGGGTTCTTATATATTTACTTAATAGAATACAAGAAAGCACAATGACACAAATACCAACCTGCTTACATATATAACCAGGCCACATGTTACCCCCCCAAAAAAAGTGTATATTTAATCTTTAGAAGAACTACTCTGTAGCTTTGGAGGCTGTCCTGGAACTCGCTCTTGTAGACCAGGCTGGTCTCGAACTCACAGAGATCCACCTGCCTCTGCCTCCAGGGTGCTGGGCATAAAGGTGTGCACCATCACTGCCCTGTTTTTGTTTTCTGTCAGGAGCGATTTCCAAGGGCTCCAGGAACCAGGAGCTCCTGTCTGCATTGAATGTTGGATGCTAACTGATTTGCTATTGAATGACCTGGCCTCAGTGGGAAATGTCTCCTAGTTTGCATCTCTATGGGCCTAAGCATCTGAATAGGCCTGCACCTGGGCGGAGGGGCTAGGTGTAAGTAATGAGTGAGAGTTAGGTGTGAGTAAGCTAGCAGAGAGCAGAGAAGGAAAGGAGTGAGCTCCTCGTGGCCATGGCAGGATGGTTAAGAAACAGTCGAAAAGATGGTAATTAAACAAGTACTCCAGTTTTACAACATGGAACTGAGAGTTCTCTAAAGATGACAAGATGCCTGTGTTTGGTCTTTATCGCCGCTAGGTTGCTAGGAGTTTCCAGGTCCACACACCCCCAACTCATGGCTGTCGTGGCTTGGAGCTGAGACAGGCTGGGTCACGACAGTTTTTGAAAGGGTCTTTTTATATAGACCAGACTGGACTTGAACTCACAGAGATCCCCCTGTCTCTGCTTCGTGGAATGTTGGGATTGAAACTATGTGCCACTATATAGATGCCCAACCGTGTCCCTTTTGAGGAATCTGCATTTGTCTGTTTTGTACCAGTGGTTCTGTATATCTTCTGTCGGGAGTTGACATCGGGTGACAAGTTGTTCATCTGTTGGAAAGAACGAGCTCCCTTCTGTGGGTGGTGGGTTCATAAGAACATTTCATCCTACCGATGGCGGTCCCCCTCTCAGCCTTGACGTGGCTGGTGAAAAGTGCTTACATAAAGTGTGGAATGACTATGTTTCTGAATGTGTTGGACATCTTTAATGAGAAAGTGGTGATGGGGGAAGTCCTTCTGCATATATGTTTCTCTTATTGGTTGATGAATAAAACACTGTTTGGCCAATGGGGCGGTAAGATAGGTGGGGCTAGGAGATGAGGCGTAATACCATGCCGGGCATTATCAGGTAAGCCACAGCCTTGTGGCAATACATAGACTGATAGAAATGGGCTAATAATTAAGACAGAGCTGGCCAATAAGAAGCCCTAGTCATCAGCCAATAGTTTCATAATTAATGAATTAAACTATTCTCTGTGTGTTCATTTGGGGCTCAAGAGCCGAGGGACCAGCTGGGACAAAGAAAGCTCATGTTACAAAGTGGCTTTGCCCAGGGCTTGTCTTCCACGTTGATGAGGGTGTACCTGGTCTTCTCCCCAAAGCCAGAAGGTTGACTCGCCTAACCTGGACCAGCAGCTCAAGTCTAGATGCCCTCATCAGCAGAAGGCAGAACATTTGAGTTAAGAACAGAAGTAGGGAGAGCCGCAAACAAGCAAACAAGTGTTTCCTATGCAGAGTCGAGAATCAGGACCATGTGAAGAACCTAGAATCCTGAAATGCACTGCGCACACCCAAGTGTACCCCCTTGTTTGTCATATAGGCAAGGATGACTTTGAACTTCTGATCGTCATGCTTCCTTTCTTCCACGGGCTGGAATTACAGACCTACACACCACACCTGGTTTATACAGCTCTGTAGTTGGAGCGCAGAGCTCCCATGCGGGCCAGGCGAGCACTCTGCCAACTGAACTACATCTCTAGCCCTGACTTATTCTCTGTGCTGAGATGTCATTTGTCTCCATAGTTTGAACCATCAGAAGAGCTCTAAGCCACCTGGCCTGGCCTGTAGGTGCAGGACAAGCTCTGGGTCATGTCCATGGTGGGGTACAGAGTTTTAGTAGGGGTAGATGGTGGCAGTGGGGGTGTATAAAGCAGTATTTTGTTTCCATTTTTGGTTTTTTCGAGATGGGGTTTCTCTGTATAGCCTGGCTGTCCTGGATCTTACTCTGTAGTCTAGACTGGCCTCGAACTCACAGAGATCCACCTGTCTCTGCCTCCCAAGTGCTGGTATTAAAGGCGTCCACCAGCACACCTGACATAAAGTAGTGTTAAGGAGAATTCCTGGAAAGAAACTGCATAGGTTAATGGACTCATAAACACTTCAGTGACTATGGCAAGTTGGGTATGTTGCTGATCTAATAGCCTGATTACAATTTCTTTTGGTCTATTTTTAGCCTCTCAAAGAGCTATTCATTGTGTATTTCTGCAACAGAACTAACATTCTGACAAATAGCTTAGGGGAAAAAATCTTTGGACAGTATTAATGTAGCAAAACCCTGTTTTTCACCAATTCAAGAGCTAACAGCACCTCTATCGGATAACATCTGGGGCACATCTGCCTGGCTGCCACCTGCTTCTCCGTTGTGCCCACCAATGTATTTTAAAATTGTCTCTATTTGTGATTTTCTTTGTTTGGCTAATACAGAACTTCACAAAACTGCTTCCACACAGGGACATGAGATCGGGGTAATCTCCTCCGTCTTCTTACTGACCTAAGTCAGTCATATTTGGCTCTAGAATATTCCTTGTTCTCCTTGAGGAGAGAGCTGTGTGTTTTGTCTGCTTGTTTGTCTTTTTGTGCACCCACAGCAGTGACCTGGGAAGCACGGATGCTGTCAGAGAAGGCGAGGTGATACGAGAGCCGGTGACAAGCTTGAAGAGCCAGGGAGACCTTGGGCTGCTCACTGCATTAGGGACTCGTGTTTGCGGAGGCCGTGGTGATAAAGGACAGAGTGGCCTTGCGGTGTGGGGGATCTTGCTGTTCAGCATCTTATCAGAACCAGATTACTGCATTTGATTCTTTGGGTAAGCATGAACTCATCTGACCCTAGTGTGGGAGAGAGTCGTTGTCCTTGGACCGTCCATGAGGACAGGGTCTTCTCATCACCATCTTGTCTTGCACCCAGAGCAGCTCATGACACACTGCAAATACTCAGTCAGTGTCTGTGGATGGTTTGTTTGGTTTGGTGGCAGGGCCTTGGGTATGGCTGGGGAATGCTGGGCCACACGGCTGTGCCTCAGCCTCTTCATCCCTAGTTTGTTTTAAAAGATTTGCTTACTTTTTAAAATATAGTTTAACTTTATTTTATGTGCATTGGTGTGAAGGTGTCAGATCCCAGGGAACTGGAGTTACAGATAATTGTGAGCTGTCATGTAGGTTCTGGGAGTTGAACCTGGGTCTTCTGGAAGAGTAGCCGGTGCTCTTAACCATTGAGCCATGTCTCAGCGCCAGATTCGCTTACTTTTATTGCCTGTGTTTGGAAGTTTTGCCTGCAGGTATGTCTGTGTACCATGTGCTTGCCTGGTGCCCACAGAGGCCAGAAGAGAGTTCAGATCCCCTGGAACTGAAGTTAGGATGGTTGTGAGCTGCCAGGCGTGAGGAATCTGGAAAGCAAACTTAGGTGCTCTGGAAGAGCAGCCAGTACTCTTATCTGATGACCTATTTCTCCAGCCTTTCTTTCAACACCAATAATCCTTCTTGCTTTGTCCTCTTCCTGGGGAAGTGTAGATATACTTGTTAAGAACTCAGGATCTGGGAACCAGACTGGATTTCAACGCCAATGTGACCACTAGTTAGTCTGTGTTCTTGGAAGAAATACTTAATTTCTCTGTGTCCCAGTATTCTCACATGCAAATTACATGTATGATATTGTCTGCTTCCTTGCATGGGGTTATGGTTTAAATTGTATTCCTCAAAATAAAAAAGTAAATATCTTAACTTTCTTTTCTTGTTTTTTAGACTTTTTTTAGATTTATTTATTTATTTATTTATTTATTTATTATGTATATAGCATCTGTCTGTATGCCCGCAGGCCCGAAGTGTGTGTTTGATGCCCAGAGCTCACGTGGTAGAGGGAGGGAATTGGCTTTCATTAGTTATTCTCTGACCTCCGTGCACAAGCCCCACCCTCTCCCAGCACACACAAGATAAATTAAACTAATCTTAAAAGATTTAAAGGGGACCTTTTGAAGATAGAGATACAAGCATGCTCTCAGAGAGAAATCCTTGTGAAGCCTGGAATTAGGTTGCTGAGAGCCAAGCA